GCCAAAGAGCACGTGGAACAGTGTAAGTATGTGCCAACAGATGTAAATGTAAAAGCTCAACTAGGCAAAAAAAACAACACATCGTCTCATCAGAGCAGTTCTGAGATCAGAGATGCTGAAAGTGAAAAACAAACGATTTGGATATCTGGAAAGAACTATCTGAGAACTACCTGAAGAGTATAAATGCAATAGAAATGCTTCCTTCAAGAAAAGAGGGATGTAATAGTCATTCCCAGGAAGTTTATGTTTTCAAAAGGCAGGACTCTCGTCAGGATCCTGTTTGCAGATGGGATGACAGAAAAGAAATCAAGTTCTAAGTATGCAGTGGTATCAAATTGAAAGAAATAACAAATTATGAAGAACAACATAATGAGATATGGAACCATTTGATATTTTAAAAATCCAATTTAATAGATGTTAAATGCAATTTGGTGAAGTATTCACCCATGAAGGAAACAAAAACTACAAAATGATAAAATACTGTAGTCAGCTGATCAAGGAAAGATGACTTTGAAAATATATTACATTGAAGTGATTGCAGGTAGAAAGGGAGAGTTGTCAGAAGGAGCACACACATGCATTCTCATGTGAATTTAGCAGTCTCCAACCACATGGCTATGGTTAGGGTGTAAGGATCTAAAACCCATTTTATTTTAGCTATGAAATGCAATTGCTGTGTTTCTGAGGTGTCAAGGTTTCTATTATCTGAGCCAAAATCAACTCCTTGGATGGTGAAACAGTGTTTCTAAAGGATTTTAGACTTCAAAATAGCTGTTACTAAAGGGCTCCTCAGATTGATGAGCTTTGAGTCAAATTAGATCTGTATGGAAGGCTTCAAAAAGGATTAGTCCACAGACAAGGAACAGACACCAACATACGTACTGGAAGGATCATACACTCAGGACTTTCTCCATCCCTAAAATCATCATTGGAATTCACAGCTATTACCATCATTATGGCAACTTTACACATTCTGTTTTTTATTTTGAGTTCTATGTAACCACCTGCAAAGTAGGTAGGGTAGGTTTATTCTAGCCAAAAAATTATAAATTAAGTCTATTTTTATTAATATGGACAAAAATAACCAAAAAAAAAGGAGCACAACAATTACAAAGCAGAAATCAAACCTTACAAAGCTAATATAAAGAGGGGAAATACCCCAAATATTCTATCAAAATGTTAAACAGATTAGGCCAAAATCAGTCAGTAACAGCAATATCTTCAGATGTGTCATAACAGCATTTAGCCATAATAGAGAGTAAAAATGGCTTTCTGAGGTCTTTCCACACTTTTTGTTTAGTCCAGCCTAGGATGTCCATGGTCAAGAATTGAAATTCTTCTCATCTAGGAGGACAAGTATCTTCCAATACACTAGTGTGTTGCCTTTAGGGAAAGCAATGTTTCAAGCAGGCAACATTCTTTTTAAACAACACTCTTCTAAAACTACCCTAAAACTTTGTGAAGGTAAGCTGAAGGGAAATGACTTTATTTATCATCACAGAATCTCCCCTTTCTTTTCCACTCCACCCTCTTTAGAGAGTTTTTGCTATTATGGTACATTACCTCAGGATTGCTGTTTATCCAAAGACTGTTCCAGAGGTAAGAACTGGGAATAAAAGGGAGGGGGGAAAAAACCTCAGGTTTATGGCTTTGTGTGCTTATGTCCATTTGCCTCTTTTCCCCTTCCTGTCGTGTTTTGCCAAGCAAACTTTAAATAAAAATATATTCAGGGTCTGCTATTGTATTGAAGTGTCTCAGGCAGTTCATAAGTCTATCACAGTTAATACTAGTTACAGTCATTAAACAAAAAGTAAATACTTTTTCTCTGGCTCTTATTATATATACAAATCACTCCTTAAAATTGCCTCAAAATTCACTTGCAAGTACTTCAACTGACATTAACATGATCTAGAGAACTCTGTTCCTGTAGTATATGAAGGTGCTCCTACTCTTCTCTTGAAAAGCAAAGGTTGTTTATACTGAGTATCCTTCATTCACTTTCATCTTCACCCCCACAGAACTAAGTGCCAAGATTCCTCTTTCAAAGGGATCAGACCTTTGACCAACCTGGTTTTCCCCACAGGCTGAGGAAAGTTCAAAAGAGCAATAGAGGAAGTCTGACCCACTCTTGTTCTGTGAAACAGACTGTAAATGCAAACTATTAAGAAGAAGCATGGCTTCACTACTCAGCACCCAAAGGACAATGTTAAAGAATGCAGTGAAGTGTTTCACAGACTCTCGGCTCTTAACTTGCAGTCTATCAAATAACCATCATCTACAGACTTCTCCTAATTTTTAATTAATGATGTCTTAGTTTGGGGTACAAATATTCAAGATAGAAAGTGTAAAATCATGGAGCAGAACCAAAGAAACATTATCTTGAATAGTAGACAGAAGAAACTAATGTGATCAGGATGAAGCTGGAAACAGTGCGACTGTGGTCACTGGAAGTGAGGTAGTTGAGATTGAGAAAGAGAGCTGATGAGAGTAGTGTAAATGGGGTGCTGAATTACTTAACCACTTATTTCCTTGCTCTTTGTTAGTGTTGGCATACAAGAAGTCTAACAATCTTAACCAGCAGCTGATAAAATCTTAGTGTGTGGCTAGGTAGACAGAGAAGTAGACATGTACATCATCACAGAGCATAAATAACATCGGCTAAAAACCAGAACAGCCTTGTTTCATATGTCACAAAGTAGAGACAGAATACTATGTAGCATAATACAACACACAAAGCTGAATTAAAGTGAAAAAAATATATTGAAGACTTCTGTGATTTTAGTTCAACAGGGGGCAGCAACACTTGCAAACTTGTTTAACAGAAGTTCAAGATATCTCGTATGTGTCTGTATATGAATCATTCCGTCAGTAAGAAAAGACACAGTAAGTAAAAATTTTAGATAGGGGGCCTGGCCCACGGAGTCCACCTCTCCCACAAGTAGAGTTTGGATACATTCACTGCAGAAAAACAAAGTAACATGCTTTAGGCATGATAGATATCCATTCTCTTGAGCTTTAAAGGAACCCAAGAAAAGGTGTCATATTCAGAAACAATAAATAACAACATGGAAAACAGGTAAGCAAACTGTTTTATATTAATCCATCTACAACAAACCATCCAAGCACATGGGAATTGCAACAGTGACCAGTACCCATTCAGAAAGGCTCTCTTTTTTTGTTTCATAAGTGACAAGGTACCTAATGTTTCCTCATGACAAATTCTTTGCCACAACATCCAAAGCCATTATAAGGTAAATACTTTGTGATCTTCATCTAAAATTGCAAAGCATATTCCAATGAATGATATGTAGAATTCTGCATGGTTAAAGAATTGCTGAAAAGGACTACTATGCAATGCTTAGGAAACCAGCCTCAGACTGTGCTGCAGCATCAGCTCTTTGCTTTTCTGATCATTTCTGTTTCTGTCATTGCTACACCCAAAACACATACTGCTCTGAATGCTCTAATCTGATACTCTTTTTAGCTGGTCTGAAGTGATCAACATCTCAGTGATCTCTGCTCAATTGTCTGTCAAGAAAACAAAAAGGAAAGGCAAGTATGGCAAAGAATAAGTCCAGCCTTTATTGACTGGAGACGTTTGCAAAAGCAGAGAGAAAAATTGAGTGAAGGTATTCACACTGCTGGTGTCTAACAAGGGAGGACAGGAAAACTCCCTCTACCACCAGTAAATAGATGGGCAGTTCTTGAGGTTCACTTAGGGGAATAAAATTTTCCTCTTTGAACAATTTGGAATTGTTTTTCTTTGTATTTCTTACCCTCAATTCTTTTAATTTTGATCCGTTTTCTTTTGTTGTTTTTTTGTTTCCCAACTAGACCTTGCAATTGCAGACTTAAAGAAAAATTACTGTTAGTACTTTCTACCTGTGAATTGGACCACACAGCTGGATTGTCTATTTGTTTAAAAGGAAGGGTCCAAGTTCTGGAAGACGCTGAATACTCTCAGTTTGATAACTTCGTAGATCAGAAAATCACTTGGCAACAGTATAGATGCAATTATTTTTGGATTATTTAGTCTGACATCTGTCTGTCTTAGGCAGACTTTTCCCCTCCTAGTCTGTTCTACCCACCCCACTATCCCCGTACAATCTCTTCTTGCTTTTGTCCTCTGAACAGCACATCCATACAGCCCCAAAATTCCTTCCTTCCAGGATAGTTGAGAAATAATAGAGGAGTTTTCTAGGGTGGGTTTCCTTCACACAAATTCCACATTATTCATAACCAGCAAGGATGAAAGATAGCAAGGCAGTGATAAAAAGTGTCCAAGAGACACTTCTAGTCAGAGTAGAAGCCAGGGCATGGCCAGAAGCTGGACATTTCACTGTATCACTTTTGGTTTTGTTCTGTAACACAAGAGCAGAGCTTCCTCCCAAACCACATGCATTTTTAAAATGCCTTTTTTAAAGGCTGAAGTCATATTTCTAAAGAATCATAAATTTTCATACCACATTTCAAACTGTAAATAATAGAATAATTTTTGAAACCTGTATTCTAGTCAAGAAACAATTTACTATTAGACAAGTACAAGACACACCAAGGGCCTAATGAAAATGTGTTAGGGGTCTGAGTTTGGTTAAAGAAAGGATTTCAACAGGTACATTTCAAAGTCATTATGCAATTAGAATTAAACCCACCCTTAAACTTGTGTAGCTGAACACTTCAATTTTCAAAATAACTGTGCTAGTCTGCTACAGCAGCTTGTTCCAGACTTCCCTATCTGTGATATACTATGTATGAATGATATAACATTAACCAAAATCTAAAGGCATAATAGCAACAAAACCAACCCCTCCATACAAGCTGAGAACTGTCTTTCAGCCAGTATGCATGACTGTCAACACAAATTAATTCAATCAACAGAATACCATTAACATTTTTTCTTCATCTATTTTCATTTTCTAAGCAGCTCAGTTTAAAAAAAAAAAAGTGCTGTTTCTTATTCATTTCTGTTAGTTTCACATGTTAAACAAAGACAGACCAACCTTAAGCCTTTTGATAAATATGATACTGTGGTAACTGCAGCATTCACTTCATATCCCATTTCTCCAGCTTCCTGTCAGCCAGATGTCACTTGCAATGCAAACACTAGAAAAATATGAAATAATAATTTCATACATCATCTATGTGAGCACGAGCCAGTCAAACATTCAATACAAATTCAAACTGCTACTACACATAAAGCAAATATCATCCAAATAATATTTAGAATGATTGAAAGGCTTTTGATTTGTAAGTGTATTCTCTTAAGCTAAGTGGTCCCCAAGACCATCTAGAAAATTCAATTGTTTCATTTTAAAATGTTTTCTGCCCAAAATTATATCAAATCCTAATGTCTCAGTAGAAACACATGGGATTGGATTGCTGACTGGGCGCCCGATGTCAAACAGGAATCTAATTTTCCAATGGCATTTCCTCATACTGTCTCACCAAAACACAAAATTGATAAAATTTTAATGGATAATTTTCAGAGCAGGACATTAGCCATCATGCTGGGAAATAGTGCAGGAGAACACCATGTAGCATCAGAAAGGCAATGCATCAGAAGACAGTTTGAATAAATATTAATATACAGTACATGCCTTATATTTTTTATTTTTCTCCTGCAAGGAGAAACAGAATTCAGAAGGTAAGGTTTGCACTAACAGACACATCTCTCTTCCCCTCCTTTTCTAAGCCATTTTTTACAGGTGATCTCTTAAAAATATAGGTGTGATATGGTACTTAAAAGGGCACAATGTTCATCTTTTACTGGGGTGACACAGTCACAGTCAACACAGTCCTCTTCTCATTGAAATCAATTGTGAAAGTCATATTGACTTCCATGACTACACCACTAACCACTCCAGGTAACAAAATGCTTTTGTTAAGTAACTCTACAGAAAAGATTGCAATGATGGAATAAATAAAATATCACCCTTCTGGATCTCCTGAAAGGGCGAGGTACTGCAAGCACTAAACATAACACCAAAAGTCACAACATGACTAAAGATGAAAAGGACTAAATCCTACGCTTCATGACAAATAAGTTATACTAGGGAGAAAGGTACTAATTAACTGTATTAGGTTATCACTCAGTAATGATGCAAAATATGTGTATGGAAATGTGTTATTTAATACATGTTCTTCTCTGAATAAGTCTCCTTTTGATTAAGTTAGGTCATTAATCATTTAAATTTGAGACTTATTTAGAAAATACAAGTGGACAAGTGAAAAGAAAAGTGAAATAAGATTTTACTGACCTTTGTAATTTACTTTGAATTTATAATGAAAGTTCAACACAGTGGAATATACAGTGAACTGGACTGGCTCAGCTTCCCAGCAACTACTTCATTTCATTTATTACTAGTTGGGTTTGACATGTATGTGTATATGTGTGTGTATATATATATATTCAGCATATTCAGGTGATTGTTTATGCTGACAGAGAGAGGAACAGTAGCATTTATGTTTAGGAGGCCTATATCTGCTTTCATCAGAGTTAAGCATGAAAAAACTTTAATAAATATCTAAGACTTGCAGAACATTAAAAAGACCACAACAAAGTAAAAACACTGTGATTAAAGTAGAGGTTTAATCTTCTGGGGGGAAAAAAGCCTGTCCACACTGCATGCCAAGTCTGCCACAGGTTAGGATTTTTCTTTCATAGCGATCTGAAAAACATCACTAAAATCCTCAAATTGGTTAAAGACTAGGGCTGGTCATGCAGCCAAAGATACCTCCATGGCTACAGCTTTCATTCAGAAATGCAGAATATTTCACTGCTCAGAGGCCAGAGCCATTGTGAAGAAGAACTTAATATCTTGTTAGAGTTTTTGTGGCTGACTGCACCTCTTTTCCAATTAATCTTGGTAGGAGATTCCTCTGGATCTGGCCAATAAAATGCTTTTGGCACAACCCAAAAGCTGTGCCGGAGCTTGCTAACACATACTCCCAAACCCCAGCTGGGAGTCAAACATACCAACCTAGGGGTCAATCAGTGAGTTATGCCCCTTCCCAATGTTTTTGGCATTTTTGCAACACCACTGTACCAGAGTGCCACATCTTCCATGCCAGTCATCTTTGTTCCTCCTGTAACTCAAAGGAGTTCCCTGTTCTAGTTTTAAAAAGAAAACAAGGGGGAAACAGAAGGCTGAAAAATGAAGGCTGAGCTGGAGGCTTCTTCTTTCGTGTGTCTGATTAGGCCCCTTCCTTCATCTTTCCTGTTCCATTCTCTACAAAAGGAAGGCAGTCTCCATTCTCTCTGTTCTTCAAAGGTGGTAGAAGAGAGCTCTGCTTGCATTGCATAAACGTTCAACTGGTAAAGGTATCCAGTGAAGGAAAGAAAGTATTTCCAGAGAACATTGAAATTCTCAGAGGGTTGGCAAGGTCTGTATTGTCTTGATTTGGCTGCTCACAGTAATGAAATCTAAACAGACTTTTATTAACAAGCCTTTTCACACCTCCTCTGCTCTCAGCAGCTGAGCTCAGCACTGAGAGAGAGACTATAATGCAGTAACTTTGAGGAGCTTTTTGTGCCTCTCTCAAATGGAGCATGCATTGGTTACCTAACTGTGCATGAGTACAGTAGAGCACAGGCATCAGCTTCTGCCAAAACTCTATTACTGGAGGAAATTGCAAAATTGACAGATTTGCCATTTTAAAGTCATAATAGCCAGAGAATAAAGAGGAGAGTGAAACAGACAATTCCCCAGGAGACTTGCTCTGCATCCTGGCTGATCCACAGAGAGCCTTTAGTAGCTCCAGAGCTCAGAACAACTCTTTAATTAACAAATTAACTTATGAATCTACTTCTAGCTTTGCAAACACCACCAAACTTTTATTTTAACCAGAAAAAAAGTAACTGAGAACACATCATACCTGCAGACATTTTTCTCTCTCATTTCTAGAAAAATGTTAAGTCGGACATTAGTCATTTTAGCTGTCCCTTTTTCTCCTTGAAAGGATTTCCCTTCTCTCAGTGCCAGCTGAACCTCTCTTTTCTGGTTCTCTCCTTTTAAGATTTTGAACTTTCTAAGCAAGCAGATAGATGGATAACTATCTGTCCAAGAGTACAAGACATTGTGCAACATATTCAGAGTACCTAATGCCAGGTTGGTAGATGTTGGAGCTGATAGAGAAGAGCAGGCACAGCAGGATTGCTACAGAGACTGTTGGTAGTTTAAATAACTGGTGCATCTGTGCAACTAAATCACATATTTTGACTCAAACACCACACCCCCTTGCATAACTTTCTGGTGGTTACCTATATTAGGTACTTCATCAAATAAAACCTGAAATCATTACAGTAAGTTCTTCACACAGTGAAGGAGCCCTGCATGCAGAAATATACTGTGTTGTTTTCCACAAGCTGGACTTCCTGATTGATTACACAGAGAAATGATACCATAAATACCACTTTGCAATATTTACACATGAAAATGTGCAGTTGGGCATAGGTTGGTCTTACGTGTCTGTGTTCTTTATGCTTAAAGGTTGTTTAGATACACATTTGCATCTCCAAGACAAAGTACTTGTTAATTACCTCATGTTTGCACTGTACTTCCAGGAAGGAAAGCTATATAAGTGCTAAGTGCTATTAACATCATCTCCTTCTATTTTCCTCTTTCAGCTTTTAAGTGAATATAGCATTTGTGAAAGTTGTTGGATTGACAGCTCTGGAGACTGAAGTCTAAAGTGCAGCACACCCGCTGAGCCAAACAGAACTAAAACATACAAAAGCTTCTCACCAAATTTTAAATACATGCTTCATTTAGCTATTGTTCTATGACGGCCTGTAATACCACTACAAAAAGTTTTGCTGCTCCCATTTATTTGTTCTAAACATCAGTTCAAACTCTTCCTTTATTTCCTACTTTCAAAAATAATTTCTCGCTGATGTGCAACACCCCAGAGACTGCTTCCCTGCCTTCAAAATCCTACGTTACAATGGAAGGCTGTTGAAGCATAACTTCATGCTACTGCAGTCAGGTACAATGGGGTGTCCTGGCATTCACTTTGCACATCACGGAAAAGTACATTAGCTAATCTCATACAGTTTTAGTACTGATCACACTAAGTGCTTGTCTGCAAAAATGTACTCTATATTAGAATCTAAATCTGAGGCAAGGAAACTTCTAATGGAAGATCTGCTCCTCTAGTTAGGAACGCTAGCATTTCTTAGAAAACTAAGTCAATACTTAAACAACAATTCAATGTTTCCTGAGAAATGGGGCATCTTATTTTGGTTTAAACATTAGACTTCCAGGAGTACACTTTTGCCACTAAAACAGGTTTGGGGGGTTTTTTTAATTTACTTTTTTGAAATCCTTTCTGGTATACCCAAAGACAAAGTCCTACCTTCTGAGAAATATCTGTTTGCACAGGTACCTTCAGATCACTTTTAAAGTCTTCCCAAGATTTCAGCTAGGGCCATTGCTTCCTCCAGGAGATTGCCATGCCTGCTTTCTTGTAAAGGGGTTCCCTGAGTTACATAAACATTTACTGGCTGTTGGTTTCACACTCTCCTTTTATCCTCTGTTTGCTTGCCTGCAGCTGGGACTGTTTCAGACTTTAAGTGAAGGAGCTGATCCTCATTGGGTAGAGTGAGCACATGAGATGCAGAACAGCTGGAGTGTATAGAGCTGATATTAACAACTGCTGTTTCAGGTGCTTCCAGAGGATTCCTTCACTTGTCTTGACAGGTTCCAAAGAGCAAATTTCGTGACTGGGTCTTGAAGTTATTCAAGACCCTGCACTTACAGAAAATCATTCCTTTCCAATTCCAGTTACTTTTTTAGTTCAGGAAATTTCTCATGGCTTCTTGTCAGGACAGGCTAGTCTTTTATTTCAGCCTGCAATGCTGCTTCTTTCTATTTCATCCTGACTTAATGTCATTAGTCTTCTTTCACAGAAACCTGAGCATTCTTTTCTTAATTTATCTAGATGGTACCCTGACAGTAGCTCCTTTGATCAAGACTTTGCCATTTATGTCTCTTCTCCCGTTAATCATTCGCTGAAATGAGATTTGTAGTAAAAAATAATTTAATCAAGTCTGACTGCCTTCGAATTTCTTGGCTTGCTGGGATTCTGGATGCTCACTTAGGCCAGGCCCTTTGGAGACACTGTGCTTTCTCTGGTTTACTAAACAGGCTGTTTGGGCTATTTTCTTATACTGGAGGGTCAAAGGTTTTACCATTGGTGAAACAGCATGCAGTTATGACACCCAGATCCTTTGCTTTTTGATAGTTCTACAAAAAAGTATCTATTTTTTCTATTTTTAAAAAAATGAATCTGGAGGCAAAGTGGCCACATGATAATTTTTCTTGTCTTTGCTTCTTGGAAAACAAGAATTCTCTATTATGCTAAATATCTGTGCTGAAGTCCAGGTTCCCAGATGTCCTCTTTCCTTCAGATATTGATGTTCTATCCCTTCCTATGTGGGGAGAAAAAGGTAAAAGACTAATGATTTATTGGAAAGTGATATCAAAATAACATCTCTATAAATGTGGTCTACACCTCAGGTTTATCTGCCTCATGTTTTGTGAGGTCTGATTCTGAATGAAAATCTTCGGCTTGTAAAATGCTTCAGGATCTCTTCTCAGTAAGATGGTCCAAGTCATACAGGTCACACCTGCTCTCTCTTGCAAGTTGAATTCTTAATTGCTGTGTCCAAGGCATTTGTGGCCTGGTTCCTAGAAGTCTAAAGGGCCAACAGTGACCAATATCCTCATTTGTCTGGCTAGTGAAAGTCTCATTAAGAGTATACAGTTCATCATCTGTGAGATGAAACTTTCATCAGCCTGAGATGATAAAATGAATTGCCCCAAGGGAATAATAAATACCACAATATTTAGCACCTTCCCCCTCAATGAGAAGCACATATCTTCATGACTTTGCTGGCATAAGCATGGATATAAGAATGAGCCTAAACTTACTTAAACAAGAAGATATTAAGCTATTAGAGAGCATCCTAAGGAGGTTAATGAAGATGGTGAAGGGCCTTGAGGGGAAGCCATATAAGCAGCAGCTGAAGTCACTTGGTCTGTTCGGCCTGGAGGAGACTGAGGAGAGACTTCATTGCAGCTACAACTTCCTTGTGAGGGGAACAAGAGGGGCAGACACTGATCTCTTCTCTGTGCTGACCAGTGACAGGACCCAAGGGAATGACCTGAAGTTGTGCCAGAGAGGTTTAGGTTGGATACTAGAAAGTGGTTCTTCACCCAGAGGGTGGTTGGGTGTTGGAAAAGTCTTCTCAGAGAGGTGGTCACAGCACAAAGCCCAACAGAGTTCAAGAAATGTTTGGACAATACTTTCAGGCACCTGGTGTGACTCTTGGGGATGGTTCTGGGCAGGGGTGGGAGTTGCACTCGATGATTCTTGTGGGTCTCTTCCAACTTGGCCTATTCTGTGATGCTGCAATTCTGTGAAAAAATAGGAAAAACAAATGACATGATTGATGTGCAGTCACATTATTTGGTTCAAGGTCAGAAAGTGCTGAGATTTTACAGTGCTCAATATATTATAGGAATATGTGTATGTGTGTGTGTATATCAAATAGTTGTAAGACTCCATACAGATATACACAGATATGGAACAGGGTTAAAACCAAACAAACAAGAAAACCTACATTAGGACTTTTATGACATCTCCTATGACAGACCAGTATTTGTGCTTAAGCCAGAAATAATCACCCAGCTTTGACAAACATTGCTAGTTTTTACAAGAAATAGTTCACAGTCTGATAAATTCAAGGCAAATCTTCATCCAGTTTCTTGTAGGACAAATGGCTGCATTTAAAGCATGTTCTTGCTACTAGGTCTAAAGCATTACAAGACCAAAATGTTCTGTATCTCATCTCAAATTTTCAAACAATCCAATATCCAGGCTATGTATAGATATATTCTTGCTGTTTAATCTCTTAAAAATCAATCAATATTAATGTGTCTGCCTTAAACTTTTAAGGTCATTGTCTCCCTTCTGACATCTTTAACTACATCAACATCACATTATATCATTATAGACTCATGAAGCAATGTACTTTTACATTTTTGCAAGATAATGTCTCTTTTGTGTTTCAGTTTTTATCATAATATAAATCTTGAAATGTAATTTGCATATCTTTTGTTTAGCAAAGGAGACCCCCATTTAAGACTATGTAATTTTAATACATAGACTTAAAAGCGGATGACTTTTTAAAGGAAATGCACCAAAATATTCCAATTTATTCTTCAACTGAAGCGGCTGCTGCATCAGTAAATTAGTAAATTCCCTTAACAATACACTTGCTAACAATTATGGTCTGCCTGCCTTGGGCCCGCTTGACAGTAGGGTTGCCATCTGTTGAGAAGTCCATTCATGGATTTGTAAAGGGCTTTTTATAGGTTTTCACTTTAAACATTGCAAAATACTTCTTCGCTCTCCACCCTTCCCTCTACTTGTCCTGTCTTTCCTGTGCTCTGTTCATCTCCCGTCCCGTCCTGCTAACAAGCACCAGTGTCCTTCTGGCACAGAACTGTCCCTCTGCACCAGCAGCCACACCACAGCAAAAAGCTTTCAGGCACATTCAATTCTGAGCGAGTCTGGCCATTTGTAATGGCCAAGGTGCTCAAGCAGAGAGGAGGGAGGACATTTATGGAGAGGAGTGGACAAAAATGAACAGGATCAATCAAGAAATTCAAAAGCAGCCGTGAAGGAAACAAAGTCAAGACAATGAATGGGAAAGAGATGGTAGGAGCTCCGGCTCTGGATAGATGGATATTTCATGAATTCCTTCAATAAATAGGGAACCTCTAGGGAAATTCAACACCTGGAAATCTTAGTGGATAGTGGTGCTGCAAAGAAAGCATAATGTTCACCCCTCCGGTAAATTCAAGCAATTAAATCCCCTTAAAAAAAAGGCCCTCTTAGGCTTTCTGCCCAGTAAACTCACGGTGAAAAGCAACTTTAATAAATGTTATAAATCTCACCTCTGAGCCAACAGGAAATTCAAATGTTTTGCATGTGCAGGAGCCAGGGAGCTGCTGAAACAAAAGGTAAATGTGTATATTAGAATAGTTTATGTCCATACTCCGACCGGACAGCAGTAGAAGCATAAGACTCATAGAGATGACAGGGTTTTTAAAACATCCTTTTTAATGTCATCTTTGACCATTTCTGTTTGTGTTACACCAAAATTCTCCTTTCTTTGTGAGTGGACAAATTTGTTTAGTGATGAGTTTGCTGGCTCGATGAATTCAGGATTACTCCTTATCATGCAACATTATTGGAAAGCAGCTTTGAGTTTCAAGGTTTTAGACATAAAACTAAGTAAGGAAATGGCAACAAATATCTATGGTTTGTAAAATGAAAAGATCAAAGTAAAGAGACTGCAGAGAATTTTTGATCAACACCCTGACAAGGGGTGTTAGTTTTAATAAACAGTAAGAATTTTAGGCCATTATTAAGTATGAGATGCAGTCTCAGCTGTGTTTCTAATTTCCTTTCTTGCCTTTCCTGCTGTTATATAAAGCTCTGTAGTGACGAAAAACCTTTATTGAAAAAATCTGAGCACACCGTTCAGGATTGCGCTACTTCATCTGCACGGAGCCTTCCCAGCCAATGAGAAATATTTCTCTCTCTGCTCTTCATGATGCCAAGAGCTGCAGGCACATTTTGTATATGTGGGACAAACCACTGGACAGAGGTGCACTTGTATAAGTGAGTAAGAATTTTGTTACTGGATCTGAAGGCTGCGTGATCACAGAATGCTGTTCATTTTGATTAGTGTTCTTTTAAAGCCATAGATAAACACAATCAGAGCTTTGTGCACATTTTTTAAAAGTGAATTTAAGAATATAAAACCAATACATATTTGGCAACAGATTCCGTGAGAAGGAGGTTTTCTGAAAATTTTCTGGGAAGATGTTGTCTACCAAGCTATAAATACTATACTTTTTGTCTACCACATACTACAGCCTTATGAAAACAGAGAAGACCATGAAAATTAAGATGAAGAAAAAGTGAAGGAGAGACAGAAGATTGGATATAGTATATTTTCTGTTTGAATTATTCACAGTAGTCAGAGCAGAGGCCTGATTGTTCTTTCACTCCTAAACTTTCGGGCTTTGCAGGTGGGCACAGAGGGTCGTTTTGAGAGAATTCTCTTCAGAAATCTCTTCATCACCCACAAATAAAGCTGGGAATAAATTATTTTATTACAAGAAGGACACAAGGAATGAGTCTCTCTTCGTTATAATCTCTCCATCTCTGGCTTTCAACCTACAGTATTTTTCCTCAGGGGATTATCAAGACTATTAGTAATTATTACTAATAAGACATTACTATGAATAATGGTAATTACAGTATCATTTAAGGACCCTAGTCATAATCACTGTGGAAAACTTATGGGCACAGTGAAGACCAAGGCTTTGTACATGCAAATCTCATAAGTGAAAATGAACAAGCACAGTTATACTCCAGAGAGCACAACACTCAAAGCCTTTCATCCCTAAACTGCTAATGGCAGTATCAAACCCAGTGTTTGTCCACAGACAAATCACTGACAAATTTTAACAACATTTATTTATTTATTTATTTATTTATTTATTTATTTATTTATTTATTTATTTTAAAAGAAAACAAAATTAAAACAATGAGGGTTTTTCCCTCTTTAAGTGTTAGGATTTAGGAGGATTGGTAGAACCACATAATCCCACCTCTAGCCCCAAAAAGTTAGGTTTGTGTGACATCTCTGTGTATAAAGAACAGTGTAGATCCAGACACCAAATTGATCAAGGATGCATAGAGAACATTCAGTCATTATGGATATTCCATAGAAGGGCAACAAGTTTTTGTCCAGTCTGGTTGGCTTGTTATGTGTCCCTTATTCAACAGAACTCTAGTTTTTCATTTAACAGAGACCTGCCTGTTATAGGTTAATGTCAAACATATGCTCAGAGTGGACACACCTTAATTTTCCCACTTTTTACATTTCGTTTTATGGTTTTCTCTGAGGAAACACATACACTCCCTTTTCTTTCTGCATCTTTGCATTAGCTCTAAATCCTTGACTATCTTGCTTTTCGTCTTCAGTCATGACAGAACTCTGCTAAAAGTACTCTGCTGACAACTTCTGATCTGGTTTTCCACTAAGATAAGCAGAACTGCATTTAAAATCTTTTAACTTCACATATAACTTCATAACTTTAGTTTACAACTATATAAAATTTTGTAAGGTTTTATTTTTAAAGGATGGCCTTATCTTAACATGAGCTATGAAGTCACTTTATATATATATAATATACACTATATATACATATTATATATGTATATCATTACAAACGGATGCATGCTTCTGACAAAACATGAAGGAAGGACTTTTCATGCCATAAAAATGGTATTTGCAACTACAATCCACAACACATTGCAAAGAGTATTAGAGTGTGGATAGTTCTCTTTCAAAGAAAACACAGCTGCAGCTGTGTTTGTTAAGTTCCTGATCGTGGGGGTCACTCTAAGAAACTCAGCACTGCCTTAGCAAAGGTGGCCAGAAGTGCCTCTCCCTCTGCATTAGTGGAGGAATTGCAGGTCAGATGCTCACAAGCACATCCATCAAAGCAAAAAAAAAAAAAAAAAAAAGTTTTGCAAAACTATGTTTAAGAACCTAAAATCACTCAAAAAATTACAGAAGCTGGTTTCCAACCTCTTTATTACTCTGGCACGGCATCTACGTAATCTCTGGTTCAATCCAGATGCAGTTGAATTTCAATATACAAACCCTGGTTCTTGGTTGTCAAGCCCCACATACCAGTTTAAAACAGAGGGCTAAAAACAACAGAGGGCTAAAAAAGGACAATCATTTAGGGCTGGAAACATCTGACAACCACTGAGTCAAAGCTTGCACAATGTACAAAGCAACAGCCAGTTGGGCCAGCTCTGTTATCTTAAGTACAGAATCTTTTCCAATGCCTCATTCCTAAAAATTAGGTAGGCCTGATAAGTCTTAACTATTTGCATAGAAAAGTCTACTATCTAAGTCTTTCATGTTGCCTAGGTTAAGCAACTTTTAAATTAATCTTATCATAAGTAAGGTACTTAATAAGGAGAGAAAAATGTGCATCATGGGAAGCCAATTTTGGCATTTGGTTTAGAGCTTTAGGTTTTTTTAACTATATTTCCATGAAATAGTTTTGCTTGTTTGCTCATATTATTCCCTAATTCAGTAAAGCCCTGCTTTGGATCTGAATTTCTGTATGACAATATTTTAAAATTTTTCCAGATTTGATTCATGGAAATTATCAAGCTATTATACGCCCCCATTCCTTTGTGAAATTTCAAGATACCTCTCATGACTTTGAAAAAGCGTGTTCCCTAAAAGAAGAAAAGTGCAAAAATATAATTGTTGAGATTAAGCATCAAATTCACTTCAGAATTTGCTCATTTTTAACGACCCATGCACACTCAGTGCCCTTGTTCTGCATCAGCCATGTAACAGACACAGGACACGTTCTTTGCCCTGTTGCTGCTCAAGACCCTGCCTGCATTAAACATGTTCGCCGGGTCCTTAAGCAATAAGTTAGGCAGGGAGAGCGTGACAACAAGTTGCTATTTCAGACTTGAAACAGCACCTGGAGGGCCAAGACCTTTCCCAATTTAATAGTGGACAGAGAATCATGGTAGTGATCAGGGTCATGTGGTGGGTGAGGAAATCACTGATACTGAAGTATCAGATGTCACCGTGACAGCTGTAATAACCAGGGCTTACTTGCTTCAGCTAAAAAATATCCACAGAATGTGGTGAATACACTGCTGCAATATGTACCTCTTCTACCTCTGTCTGATGCTGTAAACATTTAACTCCTGAAGGCTCACAGTGCAAGAACAGAGCAACTAACCCTCACAATACATTTTACATTATAAGGGAAATACAACAGAAGAAGAGGGTTTTTTTAAATCTTGAGAATTCAGCAGAAAAGTTATTATTTGCTTGGTATTGACAATTCATTCCTCTGAGATAAAACAACTTAGTTACTGGAGGATCCCAAGGAGACAGCTGGCAGTGATGAACAGAACAACATTCAATCCGCAGCAAGTGTACATCATAAAACAGGCGCCACCGGATTAAAAAGTAACCTTAAACTGTTTAGTGTACACAAAGGCAGCCTAGTCAAAACACTTCAACAATGATTTAAAATCTCAAGTTAGAGGCCAGTTTCAACCTTCAGGGAAGCCTTCTCTATTCATAAGGAGCTTAACTAATCATAACTTTCCATGACTTATCAGAACTGGATGCAGTGTGTCGCAGCACGATAACTGAGCTCTGGAAATGTAACAAAAGATGCTTTTTTACAAAAATAATGGTGAGACTAACCCCCAAATTTTAATCTTTGAACTTGGTGGGGAAGAACATCCTGTTACTCATTAAGTGTTTCCATTAGCATGCAGGGAGTCAGGCAGACAGCTCCTGTTTGTGTTATTGTGATGTGTAGGGCAGTGTATCAGGAAAGGAGCAGATTTCTGAAACCCAGTCCCAGTCCCACAAAGTGCATCATGAGGAGACAGGACAGGCAGCATCAGACACACCGCATTTCTGCTGATATCTAGCTATGGAAATAGTCTACCTGAAAAATAACATTCTTTTCAGTTCATCTAATTGCTCAGTATTAACAGCCTAGTGTTTAAGAAAACATGTAGTATTTATTTTTTAACATGATAAAAATTTGAGCTATAAAAAAGTTTCAGAGTGATAGTTAAATGTAGCCCAAAAAGGACCAGATTTCTATCTGTATTTTCTTCGGTGTAGTTCCAGATGCATTAAGACCTCAGCAGAGCCCTGAAAATATTATGCATGGCTTTCTTTTATCTTCTGGAAAAAAATGGGGAAAAAAACAGTACGAAAGAATGAAGCAGTGCCAAACACTACAAGAAAGGCTTAATAAATAGAGCCCAGGGTCACAATGTTGCTCTTATTTGCCCTGAAATATATCACTGAACTTCTGTATATTCATATTTGTTTACATTATAAATGTACTAAATGAGCTAA